GGGGGGAAAAAAAAAAAAAAAAAAAAAAAAAAAAACAAAACTTATCCTGTCTTTGCTATGGAGTGACTAAGTAGTCTCAGGTCAGTCACAACCTCTGCCTCATTTTCCACATATCTACCCCAAAGGCTGTTGTGTAGGTCAAGTAGTTAATCTTCAGGCAAGAGTTTGGGACAACTAAGGGAGAATATACAGAGTCAGGGTTTGAAGTTCTGATTATTTTCCTAGGGACCCAAAGTTCACCTTCAGATCTAAAGTCAGGGTTTGGGGTTTTTTGGAGAGTAAATGATCACGAAAAGAAAAAGGCAGTCCTTCCACAGAGAGACGACACTCTTCTGTCCAGTGCTACGTTAACAATCCATAGAATAGCAGGACATGAATATATAACATGTGGCAACATATAGATGATAGCAGTGCAAGAAAGACCAGTTAACAACACAACAAGGATACCACAGTTTAACTCTGGAATTATACAGGAAACCAAAAATCTATATGAAGCATGAGAGTCAACAAGAACATGCACTGTTTAAGTCAATCAGGCTTTAATTCTGGAACAATATTAAAAGGGAAAAAATATATCACACTGCAAAACGCAGGGCCTCCTCATGGAAAATGCTCCTGAAAGAATATTTGCTCATATTTCTCAAATGAAGCCTCATTACATCCGAGCGCATATTGCAGTGTTCTTAACACGATGTGATTGAACCTAAATCATAGCCTTTGTTCAAACCACTCTGTAAATATGGACGGGCTCTCACTTTGGATGAATCATGTCCTTTCGGACCTTCTGTAGACTGCAGTTTGGTATTTCTGCTTCACTGCTGGCTAATAAAATTGCTTATAAAAGACGACAGGTTTTGAAGCCAGCCCATCTGAGTCTGCCAAATTTCATAGGCTCAAAGGCACGTAATGGAAGAGTTAACATGATCAAAACAAGTTGCAACTTGTCAAGCTGTCAATGTTTCATTTTTAAATTGGAGAGTATTGGGGTTTTACCACACTGATTGTGCATACGGAATTGAAATGGCAATCTGGATGCACACTCCAGGCTGGCAGCTTTTGTGATAACGCTGCATAGAGGAAGCAGGTACAAAAGGCTTGCCCTTTGCAACCTTCCATCTGGTATTTCCTAACCTTTAAATGTTTAACTCTGCAGTCTCAACGTGCTTTCAATTTTTATGTTTGTTTACTTTCCTCCCTATTAAACCAAGTGACATCCTAGCTTTATGCCCCTCTTGCCCCCAAATGTCACTTGGATGAGGGAATGAAAACTGCTATTCTTATTGCCAATCAGAGAAAAACAGGACAGATGCTTAGCTCTCATAACTGATGCAAATCCAAATGAGCCTCATGTTTAATAGGCAGCTATTCAACAGAAAATTGCCCAGAGAGGATATCTTTAATTTTTGTAGGACAATCTTCCTGGCCTCTAGTTTCATAGTTTCATAGATTTAGGGTCGGAAGGGACCTAGTAGATCTTCTAGCCCGACCCCCCGCCAGGGCGGGAGAACAACAAAACCCCAAAACAAAAACGGGACTCAAATGAGTCCAGCCAGGTAGGCATCCAGCCTCTTCTTAAAGACCCCCAGGGTAGGGGCCAGCACCACTTCCCTTGGAAGTTGGTTCCAGCTCCTAGCCGCCCTAACTGTGAAGTAGTTTTTGCGGATGTCCAATCTATACCTCCTCTCCATCAACTTGTGCCCATTACTCCTTGTTATGCCAGCGGGCGCTAGGGGAAACAGCGTCTCCCCCAAACCCTTCTGGTCCCCCCTAGTGAGTTTATAGACGGTCACCAGGTCCCCCCTCAGCCTTCTCTTGTGGAGGCTGAATAGGTTCAGGTCCCGCAGTCTCTCACTGTAGGGTCTGCCCTGTTGTCCCCGGATCATGCGGGTGGCCCTCCTCTGGACCCTCTCCATGTTGTCCACATCCCTCTTGAAATGGGGCGCACAGAACTGGACACAATACTCCAGCTGTGGCCTGACCAGCGTCGCATAGAGGGGGAGGATCACCTCCTTGGCTCTACTCGAGATGCACCTGTGGATGCACGATAAGGTCCGGTTAGCCCTGCCAACCACGACCTCGCATTGTCGGCCCATGTTCATCTTGGAGTCAATAATGACTCCAATAGTGAATCCAAAATTAGGAGGGAAGCATAAGGAACTGCAAGGTGTCCTGCAGTATATTGTCAATAAGCTTCGATTACTAAGGGACTAAAATATTGGGGTTTTCTTTATTCTTATCTCAAAATTTCTTTCATTAACAGGTGACTGATTAAACAAAATACTTGTATCAGGACAAGAAAAAGCAAGGGCCAGACCCTAACTATCTTAGCAGTTTCTGTGTTATGCTTTAGTTCATCATCTCTAACAATCATTCTAATAGAAGGGTGGCTTTGAAGCTCAGAAAAAATACACCAAGGCCCTTTCTTAAAACAATATGCTTCAATCCATGGCATTCCTTGGGTAGATGACAACAGCCAACACAGCAATCTCTTATGGATATAAAATATGCAATTAATGCTCACCATGTAATCTCAAGTGAAAATTCTGATGTTAAGGCAGTGTATCTGTGCTAGGATTTACATGATTTGGAAAGCAGGGCAGGGTAAGTGGAGAAAAAGTCAGTTTTTAAGCAGTTAGACTCGCTGTGATTGTAGCCCCTGAGCTTCATGTTGAATGTAATAATGCAAGTTCTTGAGCTGGAAGTACTAGTTCTGATATGTGAGCCAGTGGAAGGATCTGTGTCATATCTGAGCTGCAGAGAGCAGTTGTGCCTGCATTTACACGCTCTGTTTTCTTAACAATCTGCTGCATGAAAGAAGATTTAAGAGTTCTTTTCAGACTGTTTGGAAAAGAGAAGATAGTGTTAATGGATATTCCTGAAAGAAGCAAGATACTATACTTCACACGCACGTGCATGTACACACACACACACACACGCACGAGGTTAATCGTAAAGTTTTGTAGACGTCTGACAACAGGCAGTGGCTGGATATGAGAAAGAAGAAGCGGAGAAACACAGGCATGCTTATTGTAGTCACCCTTTGCTCTAGAGAAGAGATTTCTCCAGTGCTCATTAAATCTGGTGCAGCCTGCAATGAAGCCATACTTTTAAGGCAACAACCCTGCACACAACACAAGGGGACATATGCTCCAACAACTGAATATAATTTTTTATACAATCTTTTTAAACATTCTTTTCAGATGTCAAACTTAAAAGGGCACAGAATGTAGTTAACAGCTAGTCCTCCATTGCTTGACAGAAATCAGATTAGAAGGTATATCATTTTCACTTTAGAGCACAGTGTGTGTTACTGCAATTTCAAGCAAGCTCAGGGGGAAGATATGCAGCTGTGCTGACGAAAAGAGAAACTGAACATGTAGTCAGAGGTTTTGCTGAGAACAAAAGATCTTCTGTTGGTTCTCAATGTGTACTCTTTGCTCATTTTGTTAGAAATAGTAGTTTCCTTAAGCCAAGAAAGGATGGGATGTCGTCTTTTTTTTTTTTTT